AAAACGGCACTTGGGAGTTGGTTCCGGCGAAATCCTCACACAATATCGTGGGCTGTAAGTGGGTGTTTAAAACTAAAAGAAAGGCTGATGGTTCTTTTGACAGGTGCAAGGCAAGACTAGTGGCCAAAGGATTTCATCAACGACCCGGAATTGACTATCATGACACGTTCAGTCCGGTGGTCAAGCCCGCTACGGTTCGAATTATCTTAAGTCTTGCCACTACTCATGGATGGCCTCTTCGACAACTAGACGTCAACAACGCGTTTCTTCAAGGAACACTACATGATGATGTCTTTATGACACAACCACCCGGTTTTATCGATCAAGACCGACCCACATTTGTGTGTAAATTACACAAGGCGATATATGGTCTCAAACAAGCTCCACGAGCTTGGTATACCGAGCTCCGGACCTATCTTCTCTCGGTCGGGTTCACGAACTCGTTGGCGGACACATCCTTATTTATTCTTCGGGAAGGCAAACTCATCATTTATCTACTTGTCTATGTTGATGACATAGTCATCACCGGCAATGACACCATGGCATGCCACAACCTCATTCGTCAAATCTCCGCACGTTTCTCCGTTAAAGATCTCGGTGATCTTTCGTTTTTCTTGGGCGTCGAGGTTAGTCGAACATCACAAGGTCTTTATCTTACTCAACGACGATATATCTATGATCTCCTTGCTCGAACTAACATGCTGCAAGCCAAGACGGTCTCTACTCCAATGGCGTCCACATCGACGCTCACCTTGGCCGCCGGAACTCCCCTTGATGATCCCACTGAATACTGAAATGTCATTGGAAGCCTTCAATATCTTCACTTTACACGACCCGACATCTCTTTCGCTGTCAACAAGCTCTCCCAATTCATGCATCGACCATCAACGGAGCACTGGCAAGCAGCAAAACGGATACGCTGGTATCTCGCAGGATCGATGTCTCTTGCTGTCTTCATGCCCTCCTTCAACACAACCACTCTACATGCATTCTCTGATGCTGACTGGGGAGGCAACCGTGATGACTATACGTCTACGGGTGCTCATATCGTCTATCTTGGTTGTCATGCAATATCTTGGTCGTGTAAGAAACAACGGACAACAGTACGGTCATCAACGGAAGCGGAGTACAAGGCTGTAGCATCCACAGCCTCTGAGGTTCGTTGGATTGTTTCTCTTTTATCTGAAATGGGCATCAAGCCAAGCAACTCACCGGTTATTTATTGTGACAACGTTGGCGCCACGTACCTCTGCGCGAATCATGTGTTTCACTCCCGCATGAAACATGTAGCAATCGACTATCACTTCATTCGGGGACTTGTACAAGACGGCCAACTACGTGTCTCTCACGTTTCGTCACAAGACCAGCTCGCCGATGCATTAACCAAGCCTCTTCCCCGGTCTCGCTTTGATCTCCTCCGCATCAAGATTGGTCTCGCACACGAGCCTCATCTTGCGGGGGCGTAATGGAATGATATCTTCTGTAATATGTTTGTTATATAGTTTCCTTATTTATAGGCTTAATTGTTTCTATTCTTAGCATAATTGCATCTACAATACGTGTATATATGCTGATGAATCATCTTGAGTTTAATACAAGGGAAATTATTTTCTCAATTGTGGTTTAGTATGTCCATTCTTTACTTGTTAAATCCTTTCATAAAGATCTAATGATTTGAAACGGATAACACTTCGTTGTGATTTTTGGAGTATGTTAAATGTCCTTAAAATCATATACGAAAGAAACTTGTAACAATAAAATTAACTTTCATGATCAGTTTTGTTATATTACTATGATTGATTAGACTAATGTGATTATGAAATTGGTCACACCAGTGAAGTCGACAGTGTGACCAGTTCTATCAGACTAGTCAAACTATTCACACCTCTCGGCTGTGATCGGTATGACCAGTTTGATCGCTACACTTGTGAGACCAGTTCGACTAGTTTGAATGTTCGATCACTTAACTGATTTAATCAGATTAGTCAAACTGGTCACATCCCTTGGGTGCGATCGATATGACCAGTTTGACCACTACACTTACGAGACCATTTCGACTAGTTTGATCATGCGATCACTTAACTAGTATGATCACTTCACGGATCTGACCAGTTTGATGAAACTAGTCAAATTGTCCATATCCCTTAGATGTGACTGATAAATACATAGAAGAGGAAACACAAGCCTTACGAGTGTTTGTCAAGGACGAGCAAAGGAGATTTTGGCTGAAGATGGGGATTAATGACGTGGAAGAGGCGGGAAAGGAGATTTAAGCTGGGTTGGAGCTAAATCAAGGAGGTTGGTTTTAGATATTATGCTACTTCTATATTTTTTAAGATTGCATTCTATATTTCCTATTCTATGTTCTAGGGTTTTGTTAGTCGTTTATTATAAATAAGAATAAGAGAGTACGATGATAGGTATCGAGGAATTGGTTTGTTTCTTGTTGGGGAGAGTTTGGAGGCCTCTCAATAATCAAAACCTACAAAGTTGTTTGAGTAATAAAATGTACATTTATCGGAGAATTCTATCAAAAGTGGTATCAGAGCAATCTTTGATTCAAAGATGTCAGATATTCATGGTTGTTTATGGAGGATGGAGAAGATGCTTGGAGGTCTCACCGACTGCTGCCGATCATGTCGTTCCAGTGGCCAAATTACAACCAAATAGTGATGGAGCGTCGGGAACAATACTGACCAAGGTGACGGTCAATCAATCGCAACACGAATAGATGGTTTTCGTGTATACTAAAACAGCAGAGGGAGACATGTTGCGATACCAGATGACACAGACGAGTTACATATCGATGGTGATGACGAACACAGAAGAAACGGAGAATCTAACTCCGGTGTTGACAACAACTCCAAGGTAAATCTAAGGCAATTATCGATTGGTGTTCAACAGGGAAAATCGGTAGCAGATTTGCAACCGAAGATTCTTCTTGAGGGTCGGGAGATGATTCCGTAGCCGAAAGATGATGGCGATGCGCACCAATATGAGCAATTAGTTAGATATAGCAGTTCACATCGAAAGGTGATACCGACAGTGTTCGTCAATAACAGATGGGCTAGTCATGATCTGAACATACCGAAGGGAGACGTATTGATCAATCACGACAAAGTTTCAAAGGTTCCGATAGTGGTTGGATTTCCGGATTCATGTGATGGGGGACTATGGAACAAAGCTCTTCCAGATCGATTCATCAAATCGAGTGAATCGCACTTGACATAGGTTATAATGCCAATATTTGAAGGTAACAATGTGGTTTGGTGGATTACGCATGTTGAGAGTTATTTTGAATTAGGAGGTAGTAATGAATTAGAGGAATTACACTTGATTTCGATAAGAGCTAAGGTGGAAAAGCATATTGGAAGCATATTGGAAGGTGCTTTCAAGAACGGAAGGTATTTTCAAGAATGGATTATGAGCTGCAATAAGAGATGTGTATAAGTTTTGCAGCTGCAAGGGTTACAGAATATGATTTCCTTAGCTTTGAGATTGGAAGGTAGTCAACTGTGTTCAACAAAGTTGAATTCGAATGATGGTGAAAGCAAGTTTGCAAAGACAGGAAAAGCTGAATGTTCTGACACATCATTTAGGATAGCCATGCTGCCTACTCGAGGAAATACAAAGAGGGATTGGTTGAGCTTTCAAAGAAGTACCATGATAGGAGTCGAAGTTTCGATGCGGCAATTTCCGAGTTTTCAGTTTGAGGACAAGCTGAAATTCGAGGGGGCGGTAATGATAAGTACAATAGAAGAGGAAGCACAAGCATTACGAGTATTTGTCAAGGACAAACAAAGGAGAATTTGGCTGAAGACGGGGATTAATGATGTGGAAGAGGCGTGAAAGGAGAGCTCAGCTGGGTTGGAGCTAAAACAAGGAAGTTGGTTTAGATATTATGCTATTTCTAAGATTGCATTCTATATTTCCTATTATATGTTCTAGGGTTCTGTTAGTCGTTTATTATAAATAAGAATAAGGTGGTACGAGGATAGATATCGAGGAATTGACTGGTTTCTTGTTGGGGAGAGTTTGGAGACCTCTCAATAATCAAAACCTACCGAGTTGTTTGAGTAATAAAGCGTACCTTTACTAGAGAGTTCTATCAGTGACCAATATGACCGTCTGACCACTTGACTTCCATAACCACTTAAGATCATTTTGACCGTACGACCACGTCATTCGTCTGACCACTTCACGGATACCCACTTTGATCATACTAGTCAAACTAGTCACACCTTCGAATACGATCGATGAGACTAGTTCGACAAATATGATCGTCTGTCCATGAATAGACCTCTATATGACTCGTCTTTCTGAAAAACTCTATCTTTCACCCGAAACCCTAATTTTTTTTACATAAACAACTCGAATATTACCCCATTTGATTGTTAAACCTGACGCAAACACATGAAATTCAAAGACAAAGAGGGGACAAAGGGTGTGACCAAAGAAATGCTGAAAAGATCGATTTGTTTTTTTAAACCTTTGCGAGGATCATACGTGCAGATCTTCGAAAACAGAAACCAAAGACGATGAAGACGAAGTCAATTAGGCCGAATGATTGAAGACCATTTTGCTAAAAAACAAAATGAAAAATTTGCTTATCAGAATCGTCAACGAAATCTCAAAATAGAGAGAAGAAAATCAGAAGCCCTTCGGGGCCAGGTCAGGTGGTAAGGGAGCATGGTGCATCACCCTGAGGTGGAGGGTTCGAATCCTCTCATCGCTCTTCCTTGCCTTTGACATGTTCGCCTGTCAGCCCATCATAATGGGCTGATTTACCTCCTCCGCGTGTGTTGCAGGCTCTGCACGTGGGCGTGGGGTTTGACCTGCAGGCGCCTAAGCCCAACTACGGCCCGAGCGTTAGGCGCGCCTGGTGGCCAGGTCCGGCGGACTGAGGTCTATGGGGACTGTTAGGCGCGGGTGGTGGCTAGTTCGTCTCCGTTTGTAAGGGTATGTAGTCACAGGGGTTCCCCATAGTTACAAAAAAAAAATCAGAAGTTTCTGCGTTTTCAAATTTTGAAAAAACTGAATGAAATTACTTTTTCACCTTTTGACTTCGTGTTTTTCTTCGGTGCATAGAAAATTACCATGTACTGTAATTTGTAAAGGTAAATCGATCTTTTCAACATTTTTGTTTTTTTAAAACTCTAATCCTAGAAAGGTATGGTTTAAAGTGAAGAATGATATTTAAGTTTATACCTTCCCGTTCTCACAATGTCTCCATCGTGAGCCTTGAGTGTTTTGACAACCTTGCTTCTCGATACCCCTGTCTGTCATTACCAAATCTATGTCCCGAACCTTGGCCCCCGTCACATCCACTTCGTCTTCTTCCTCGGGCCGTGCTTCTACTGTTATCGTCGATGCATCTGTCTTCTGAGAGGTCGCTCTCGTTTCGGGCATTCTGAATTGTTAGGCAGCCTGTGTCTAGAGTTGCGAGCTCAAATCCTCAATCTTCGCCTCTCCGAATATGATGTAGTTTTCTAAATGTGGACTCTTAAAGACAGGGCTTCGATATGAGGAAGAGTATCTGCGGTATACGAGGCGAAATGTAGAGATAAGTATCTGTATTGTGAAAGGGAATGGAGAAGAGTACGTGTTTGGTTCTTTTGATGGTCACTCGGCTAACACCGGTCACATGCTCCGTACCGAATTTCGACATTGCTTTCCTGTTTTCTTTTCACTTCTGCTCTGTTTCGAACTACATGTTTCATCAACTTCAGGTTCGAATTCACGACATATACTACACCGCATCAGCATAGCAGTAAGCGAAATGCCTTAGTTTCGATCTTAACGAAAAACCCATTGTGAAAAACTCGGGAGTAGTTGAAAAGTTTGGAGAAAACCTAATTTAGAGAAGAGGAACAACCACCTTGTGCGTCGTCATCCTTCTCATCATCGTCATTGTCATCTTCATCTTCATCTTCCTTCACGTCTTCGATAACGGATTCGTCAGTTTGAAAAGAAAACCAAAGAATTCCTCGAACATGAGAAGACAGACGAAAAATTCGTATCGAATCAAGCCAAATGAAGCTTATGTCGAGATCCTCAGCTATGGCAGGGGGGGGCGGGGGG